GAACACAGGCCAAATCTAGGCCAGCAGTTGAGACTTGGGCAGGCACTTCTTACATTTTTCCTGCTTAAGGTTAAGATTGGTCCTACAGATAAGATCAGAGTTAAGCCTACACACTGGGAAAAGCTCAGGGGAGAAAGGGATGGACCCAGCGGTGAAGAGAGTAGTGTTGCTAAGGGTCAGAATCCAGTAGGACCTGACAGTGAAGCTGAGATGGCTGCTTTGTTACAAAAAGGTTCCTAGGTTCTCTGGAAAACCTAATACATGTTGTATGACTAGGATTTTTATTAACAGTATATGGTCTATGATTACAATGTTACAACTTGCTGGGCTTGACAGATTTTTTACCATTGAGGTGTTTATGGAAGAAAGTTTGGATTTGCTGCCAGGCATCTACCTGTGCCCTTGAGTGAGCCTTTGGCTCACCTCCATAGAATATTGGTTGGTCCAAAACTGCATGCACAGAGGCTCTACAAAGAGGAAAATAAGGCGGATCAATACAATGGCCAGTTCCTGGGTAGTAGATTATCTGGGGTCTGTCTTTCCCATGGGCTTGTAGCCGTTCAGAGGCTATCTGAGCATAGAATTCACTCTTCCAGTTATGATCATCCATGCCAACGATAAACAGGAAGGGTCCCTGGGCCTTTTCCAATGGAATAAGACTTTGGTGGTTGGGTTTCTCCAGTGGGTCGTTCCAAATATCCACCAAATTCAAAAGGCCTGACTCAGTGATTTTATATTTTCCTGGGTCACTGCTGAGATTAGGAATAATCATATCCTTGTAATGCAGAGGAGCTATTGTGTTGGCCACACAGGCATTAATAACTGCAGTAGCTGTGATGCCCTTCAAGAAAGAGGCCATTGAGAGACACAGGTCACCTCCTTTGGAGAAGCCAAGAAGCCCAACACTAGGGCCTTTCACCTGATAAAAAGAGAGAAAGAAAGAAAGAGAGAGAGAACAAGTCTAGAATTCATAAATGGAGAACTTAAACTGTGATTTTACATTGTCTAGGCAGCTTTCTCAAATGTCATTTGCTTTTCTTTCTTATGCAACAATCCACAAAGTTCAAACGTATCTTCTAATAAGCAAATCAATTTTTTTTTTTTTTGGCTGCACTGGCACGGCATGCAGGATCTTAGTTCCCTGACCAGGGATTGAACCTGTGTCCCCTCCATTGGGAGCACGGAATCTTAACCACTGGACTGACATGGAAGTCCCAAACAAATCAATTAACTTCCTGGTACGCAGGCCCTCCACTAACATTTACGGTGACTAGGTCAAGAGTACACACAGAGGCCCATATACCCTATACCTAAATATTTAAAAGTTATAAATATTTGAAAATTAAATAAAATATATTCTTTTCTGCTACCTTGATAAATATACCTCCATAACAACTTATAAGGTCAGGTTCAAATTTTATATCTTGGAACTTCCTGGAGTTCTGTACTAGAACATGGCATGGGGGGAGTGCCAGCCCCTGGCCCTAGTCCCTGGTCCTTGGCCAACTCTCTTTCTCTTCCCATCCCTGCCTGGCTCCATCATGTACCATAAGGGCCCTCTCACACATGCGTTTGGACACCCCAGCCTATATGTTTAAGGCCTAGGTGTATTCACATTAATGGACCCAGAGAAGAGGCATAGGGCTTGGAAGCAGGATCAAAGCTGGTTAGAAGATAATTGTGGGGTTCCAGATCCAAAGGGCATGGTGTGAGGGGCACATGGGTTCCAGGTAGACACACTCCCTTGGCCCCTCAAACTCTGCACCCTGTGGTCAGGGATGCAGCCAAAGGAAGGCCAGAGAGTGGTCATCTAAAACAAAAGGTCCAGAGCAGAAGCCCCTCTTGCCTAGGTCTAAGGGCAGAACTGATAGTATATATTGGTCTCTTCTTGCTCCTGGGGGCTTATATCCCATAAATAAGCCAGTCATCACAGTTCATGATCATCTAGGTTTTAGCAGCTCTATTGAGACCAGTCCCTGAATTCTAACAGAGTTAGGCCTTGCAGTACATCTTACTCCTTAACATTAGAACGTTTGGGTTTCTTTAAGTCTAGATAGTAGCAAAGACTATGTATTCCATTGATAATCATACCAAAATGTTTTAATTAATTTTTCCAGTCTCATATAAGAACTTTCTCTACAAAACCACAATACCATTAACACACTTAACAAAATTAATGGTTCTTTAATATCATCGAATACACAACCCCTATTCAAATGTCACCAATTGTCTCAAAAATCTCTTTACAGTCAAACTTTCCTCTCTATACATTTACATTAATTTTGTTTTTCTTTTTTGGGCCATGCTGCACAGCATGCGGGATCTTAGTTCCCCAACCAGGGATCAAACCCCCATCCCTTGCAGCGGAAGCGCGGAGTCTTAACCACTGGACTACCAGGGAAGTCCCTACCTTACTCTTACAAATGAAAAAAACTGAATTCCAGAGAGGTAAACTGCCTTATTCAGGATTATAATGCCACTTGGTGGTAGACACAGAACCAGAGCTTAAGGTTAGTAACTTTTTAGTCTAGCTCTTTGAATTCTGGTCAAGAACTACAGGGAACTAAACAGTTGAGTCTTAAGGGATTGGAGAGAGATGGGCAGAAATGAAAATAATAATCCTAACAACTTTTGAAGGAGCCTTTGTGTCTCATGGCATATTTCCAGCCCTGGGTGTCCTGGTAGAGCTTTTGGATCCAGCCCTGTGCCTGCTCTACCCCCTCTCCTCTGCATTCAGGTGAGCACCAGAACCCACCTTTGGATGTTGCAGCATGAAGTCCACAGCTTCTTCAAAGTACTCCAGGCACACGTTATTCAAATATTTAGGGAGGTCTTCAAATCTGAAATAAGCCAGAGCGAGCACAGCAAAACCATGTCCAGCCAGGAGGCTGGCCCTGTATTCACAAAGGCCACCACCACTTCCAAAAAGATCGAGGATTCCAGGGAATGGTCCTGTGCCTGGAGAGCACCACAAATCATAAGGAGTTTTAGACACTCAAAAGACATTCTTGGGTTTCAGATTTTGGCAGTCAGCAAAGAGAAGTTTTTAAAGCAAGGAAGGCTGTGGGTGGGAGTTTGGTGGAAAAGGACTCTTTTTACTTTGTCTTTTTTTTTTTTTTTAACAAACTTTGGGGAGAAGGGAGGGGGAACAAAATGCCTTATTTTCTCCATAATTTTTCCTATATTTGCAAAAAACAACAACGATAATATAAACCAAATTAGAAATAACATAAGATGAAATGTACATTTTCCACCAAATTTTCCTCAAACCCCCCCCCCCCAAACTGAGAATGCTTTGACAGCTGTAAAGCGCTCTACATATACAGGGGATTATTAGAATATACTCCCCACCTCCTTTACACCCTCTGCTCCAGCCTTAAAGAACGCCATTCCTAAATGTGCTATGCTCTCTTTGGCCCTGAAAATGATGTACACTATTCTCCTCCCTCTCCACCATTTCTGAACTGGTTGGCTCATCAATCTTCAAATCTAAGTTTAGATCTCCCTTCCTGGAAGACTTCCCAGATGCCCTCCAAGGCTGAGTTGAATTACATAGCCTTTTATATGTTCCCACCAGCACCCTGGGCCTGTACCTCCCTTATCATAGCACTTACCACACTCACAGATCCAAGTATAGCTGCCGGTATCCTCTATTAGGCAGTAGGTACAGTGAGGCCCATGTCTGAATTTGCTAGTTACTGTATGTAGCATAGTCCTTGATTTAACACATATTTGTTAAATAATTGAACTTTTCTGCATTATTTACAAAAAGACTTTGAGTCAGAAAACAATAAATTTTAAATGGGCCACAGAGTAGATCCTAAATTGGTTAACAACTAACTTGATTGAAATATCACAACTGGGCAGTGAAAGATTTTTTTTTTTTGAAATATTTTTTTAAAAATTAAAGTTTTTAGGAGATTCTTATTGAATCAGTCAGTATGATTTATTGAGCTCTTATTATATCCCTGTGTAAGCCTCTAGGCATACAGATATGGAGATGTATAAGTCCCAATTCCAGACCCAGGAGTTCACAGTTGAGTGGGCAGTGCTAGTTAAGGCTGTGAATTGCTGAAGAGCTGTAAGAATAAAGCAGGGCCTCCTGTTTTGGAGAATAATCACAGAATTCAGTTTAGGAATTCTGTGAGCAGTGGCAACTCCAGCATTTCTGTATAGCAGGGGTTTCAGTCAGGAATTTGGTTGGAAGCGGCGGGTCAGTTGTCTTGTTTACAGGCCACTTTTACCTACCAAGCACCTTGTTTTTACTTAGACTAGGGTTTCTCAACCTTCGCACTATAGACATTTTGAGTAAGATATTTCTTTGTTGTGGGGCTGTCCCGTGGATTGTGGATGTTTAGCACCTACCCACTAGATGCCAACAGCACCCTCTCCAATTGTGACAATCAAAAATGTCTCCAGATATTACCAAATGCCCCTGGAGTGGGAGAGAATCATCCCAGGTTGAGAAACACTGACAGACTGTTTATTATGGGGGAGGGGACCTTCAGGGAGTTTTTTGTTTGTTTTTTAGTATTATGGGGCACTGCCTCTATCTCTGGGTTTTAGTTTCCTTTGAAGTTTGATGTGAAAGAAGACCAAAATCACTCCTGCACACAGAAGTCACTGCCTAATATTAGTATCTGAGACACAGCTGCATGGCTGGCACATAGCAGCATACACTTTTTGAGTACTCTGAATGAACTTTTAGCATATAGCTAAGGGAATGGCAGTACCTCCAGCAAGTGTCCTGAAATTTAGAGGAGAAACTTCCACCCAGAATTCATGATAGACTTTGGAGCTTGGGGACGAATTTAGGGAAGTTCCACAACCACGGGGTTCCCTAGCCAGGCAAGGGCCCGCCCAGGGTCTCAGGACTCTACCTGGCTTTCCACAACAGCCTGGGAAGTGGGCTGCTCACCTGGCGGCAGGAAGAGCGTGGCGCGCACCCGGCCCACGCGCACGGGCTCGCGCCGCACCCCCGGCGCCAGGAAGTCGCGCTCGTGCACCGCCTGGCCCAGGAGCCCTCCGGCTTCCGGGTCGTGGCCGTCGAGCACCTCCAGCTCCACGGCGAAGGGCGTTTGCACGTCCCGCTTCACCAGCCGCAGCAAGGGCTTCTCGGGCTCTAAAGCCCAGAGGAGCCCCATGGGCTCGAGCCCCGTGAAGCTGCCGCCCAGCGCGGGCGCGCGCTCCAGGTCCAGCTGGCCGTGGGCGTCGGCGCAGTAGCGCGCGTGGGCTCGGAAGAGCTCGTCCTTCTCGTCGCGCAGGGACGCGCGCAGCGTGACCGGCTGCCCCGGGGCCAGGCCGCGCACGGCGATGTGCACGGGCTCGTCCCAGCGGCAGCGGCCTGCAGGCTCCAGCGTTACCGTCGCCGCCATCTGGATCCCAGCAGAGAAGGGGCGGCCCGGCGGAGTCAAGGGCAGGGCCTGGTGTCTCTCCACCTCCCTGGGAGGCAGTCGCAATTGGAACGTTTGCGCTACTCCCGTTGGGCGACCGAAGGGACACTTGCTAAACCGCTTTGTGAGGTCACCTGGAGTTTGTGCAGTCCACTACTGCCTGCCTGGAAGAGTATCTGCTAAAATAAGAGTTTTATGGTAATTATTAATCCTGCGGTCCAATATGGCGAGTGTCGAAATAGAAGTACGAAGATTGCTGACAGCTAAAGGATTGGGAAAGATACCGGGCAGTTCCAAGTTTGAGTATTGTTGACTTTAAAAAATGCACAGCGTGAAGAGTTGTGAGTTAAGTTTTATTTGGGGTTTATTTGGGGCAAAATGAGGACTGCAGCCCTGGAGACAGCATTTCAGATAACTCTGAGAAACTGCTCCAAGGAGGCGGGGGGGGGGGGGGGGGAGGAGCCAGGATATATGAGTTTTGCAACCAAGGGAAGGTAGTCGGGAAGTCAAAAGATTATTGTTAATTAAAGAAAACCAGATATCTCAAGGTAACGAATTTAGTGCTTTTCTATGTATGGGAAGATGCAAGAGCCTGGGCTCACTGAAATCATTCCTTTGATATGCACCTCAGCTATCTGGGGCCAGTACCCTGTATTTTCACATCCTGAGTTTCCTCAGGGCTCATTGCAGGAAGTGGCTGCAGTCTGATGGCTGCTAGATGGCAGGTATTCTTTTCAGCCCTGAGTTTCCTCAGGGCTCACCGGCTTACGTTGGAGGGTTGCAATCGTTGATGACTGTGACATCCTTTGTTTATTGATATGGCAGGAAATATTCCATTTATAAATATTCCAGGGCTTCCCTGGTGGCGCAGTGGTTGAGAGTCTGCCTGCCGATGCAGGGGACACGCGTTCGTGCCCCGGTCCGGGAAGATCCCACGTGCCGCGGAGCGGCTGGGCCCGTGAGCCATGGCCGCTGAGCCTGCGCGTCCGGAGCCTGTGCTCCGCAACGGGAGAGGCCACAACAGTGAGAGGCCCGCGTACCGAAAAAAAAAAAAAAAATTCCATTCGATTTATAAATATTTGATTTATCAGTATTAAAAAGCATCCCAGGTGATTGTAATTCAAGGGATCACTGGAAACATAGTCCTAATCCTACCCTTAACCCTCAATCCTTTACTGAGCCTTTTTCCTAGAGCTAAGGATACCTACAATGGCTTCCAGAGCAGGGAGATGTTTCTGGAGAGAGAACTTCCTGGGCTCCAGTCTGATCCTGCTCCTTAATAGCGTGGTGATTCTTAGCAAGGTACGTAATTAAGCTTCTGAATCCAGTTTCCTTATCTGTAAAGGATTTTTTTTTCTTTTTTTTTTTTGCGGTAATTTTAATAATGAGTAATTTTACTACCTGAATTAGGTTCAGGACACCTATTTAAATCCCACCTTCACAGATTATGACAAATGTTAGAGAATTGAAATATCTTGGAGGCAAGACTGTAAGTGAGAGCAAACTGCTGTTGATATTTAAAACGTATTGGGATTGAAAACAATGCTTGTAAAATCAATAAAAGGATTTCAGTCAGCGGTGATTTAGAAAGCTCTTCCTACAGAGAAACAATGTCAGCCATAGTTAACACAAAATTCATTGTTTTCTATAATTCTCAGTCAACACCCAGATCCATCTGCTTTTCTGATAACCCCAAGTGAGAGTTAAAGGGGAAAGAGGCAGGAGGTGGGAACAGACTCCCAGTTATTCCAGTATCATAGGTGTGGTTTCACTGATGATCCTGGGCCTGGTACTGTTTCCTATTACCATTTGGTAGGACAAGAGAGCTCCACGTTTCTGTTTTTAGCAGCCAGTATTTATCCATTTGAGTATGTTCTTTCTCCAAGATTGCAATAACTTAATTTCAATAATCATCTCATGGTTAATAGTATTGTATCAATGTTAACTTCCTGATTTTGTACTATGGTTATGTAAGAAGTTAACATTAAGGGAAATCAAGATGAAGAGTATAGCTGGGCTATTTTTGCAACATTTTTGTAACTCTAAAATTATTGCCAAATAAAAAGTTAAAATACCAGGGAGTGATAAAACCACCCTAGAGGATTCCTTTGGTCCTCTGTGTCCAACTTGTAGGGGTAGTAAAACCTGCCCACCTCAGTCAAATCCTTGCTCTTCCATATCCTTGAACACTTAGTCTTTCCCATTTGATTGAAGTTTCCAGGAATCTGCATTATGTCTGATCCTGTATCCAAAATCCCATGCCTTCGGTTTTTAAGTAAAAATAAAAGATACATTTTTTATTTTCACCAAAAACTTTTTGAACAACATATTCACCCTTTTGTTCCACTACCTTCTGCCATTTTTCAGGCAACTTCATGATTCCATCTTCCCAAAACTTTTTATCTTTTTGAGCAAAGAACTGTTGCAGGTGCCTTTTACAGTTTTCCAGGGAATTGAAATTTTTTCCATTAAAAGAATTTTGTGAAGACTGAAATAAATGGAATTCCGAAGGTGCAATGTCTGGTGAATACAGCGGATGAATCAGAACTTCCCAGCCAGGGCTTCCCTGGTGGCGCAGTGGTTGGGAGTCCGCCTCCCGATGCAGCGGATGCGGGTTCGTGCCCCGGTCCGGGAGGATCCCACGTGCCGCGGAGCGGCTGGGCCCGTGAGCCGTGGCCCCTGAGCCTGCGCGTCCGGAGCCTGTGCTCCGCAACGGGAGAGGCCACAACAGTGAGAGGCTCGCGTACCGCAAAAAACAAACAAACAGAACTTCCCAGCCAGGTGGTAACAGTTTTTGCCTGGTCATCAAATAAACATGTGGTCTTGCGTTATCCTGATGGAGGATTATGCGTATTCTGTTGACTAATTCCGGACACTTTTCATCAAGTGTTGCTTTCATTTGGTCTAATTGAGAGCAGTACTTGTTGGAATTAATCGTTTGGTTTTCCAGAAGGAGCTCATAATAGAGGACTCTCTTCCAATCCCACCGTATACACAACATCACCTTCTTTGGATGAAGACTGGCCTTTGGTGTGGTTGGTGGTGGTTCATTTCACTTGCCCCACCATCTCTTCCATTCCACATTCTCATACAGTATCCACTTTTCATCACCCGTCACAATTTGTTTTAAAAACGGAATGTTTTTGTTACGTTTAAGTAGAGAATTGCATGTGGAAATACGGTCAAGAAGGGTTTTTTTGCTTAATTTATGTGGACCCCAAACATCAAAGCGATTCACATAACCAAGCTGGAGCAAATGATTTTCAACGCTTGATTTGGGTATTTTGAGTATGTTGGCTATCTCCCGTGTAATGTAACGTTGATTGTTCTCATTTAATGTCTCCACGTGATTGCTGTCAACTTCAATTGGTCTACCCGACCGTGGAGCATCATCCAGCAATAAATCTCCAGCACAAAACTTGACAAACCATTTTTGACATGTTCAGTCAGCCACAGCACCTTCTCCATACACTGCACAAATCTTTTTTGTGTGTTTCAGTTGCGTTTTTACCTTTCTTGAAATAATAAAGCATAATATGCTAAAAATGTTGTTTTTCTTCCATCTTCAATATTAAAATAGCTACACAAAAATTCACCAGTTTTGATAAGTTTTTTTTAATGCACGCTGATATGTCAGCTGTCATAATACAATCTAACAGAATTGTTTCGAATGAAGTTAAAGACGACTAAGCACTACTAGAGTCATGGGAAAAAACGAACAAACTTTTTGGCTAACCCAATGTATAACGTGCTCCTGTTTTGGGTACATAAATGTTTACAGATGTATGTCCTCTTTCTGGATTGACACTTTTATTATCATATACTGTTCTTTGTTTTGTTACAGTCTTTGTTTTAAAGTCTCTTTTGTGTGATATAATTATTGCCACCCCAGCTTTCTTTTCCTTTCCATGGCATCTTTTTACATCCCTTCACTATCAGTCTGTAAGTGTCTTTGTGTTTGAAGTGAGTCACTTGTAGGCAGCATATAGAAGGGTCTTGTTTTTTATTCAGCCACCTTATATCTTTTGATTGGCAAATATACATTACATTTAAAGTAATTATTGGTAGTTATACACTTATTGCCATTTTGTTAACTGTCTTCTCGTTCTTTTTGTAGTTCCTCTCTGTTCCCTTTTTCTCTCTTCCCTTGTGGTTTGACTGTTTTCTTAGTGTTATGTTTAGATTCCTTTCTCATTTTCCTTTATGTATTTACTGTAAGTTTTCTCTTTGTGGTTACCATGAAGTTCACATATAACACCTTATGTATTTAACAGTCTTTATTTAAGTTGATAGTAACTTAATTTTGAACACATTCCAAAGCTTTATATTTTTACTCCCCCCTATGCTTTATATTTTTGATGACACATTTTACATCTTTTTTTTTTTTTTTTCTTTGCGGTCCTCGGGCCCCTCACTGTTATGGCCTCTCCCGTTGCGGAGCACCGGCTCCGGACGCGCAGGCTCACCGGCCATGGCTCACGGACCCAGCCGCTCCACGGCATGTGGGATCTTCCCGGACCGGGGCACGAACGCGTGTCCCCTGCATCGGCAGGCGGACTCTCAACCACTGCGCCACCAGGGAAGCCCCATTTTACATCTTTTAATGTATCCCTTAACTATGGTATTTTCATTAATTTTAATATTTTTGTCTTTTGCCCTTTATAAGTGATTGATCTACTACCTTTATTATTATTTACATATTCCAGTGAGATTTTTACTTATATATGTTTTCTTTTTATTCGTTAGTGCCTCTTCTTTTTAGCTTAGGGGAGTTCCTTTAACATTTGCTGCATTTGCTGAAAGGCCAGTTTAGTGGTGATGAACTCCTTTACTTTTGCTTACCTGGAATACTGTTAATGTGTCCTTCAATTCTGAATGATAACCTTGCTGGGTAGAGAATTTTCAGTTGGCAGTTTTTTCCTTTCAGCCCTTTGAGTATATCATGCTACTCTCTTCTGGCCTATAAAGTTTCTGCTGAAAAGTCTATTCATAGACCTATGGTGTTTCCTTTGTACATAATAGGTTGCTTTTCTCTTGCTGCTTTTAAGATTCTCTCTTTCTCTAACTGTTACCATTTTAATTATAATGTATCTTGGTGTGATTTTCTTTGGGGACATCTTACTTGCAATTCTTTAGGCTTCCTGGACCTGGATGTCTCTTTCCTTCCCAGATGAGGAAGTTTTCAGCCATTATTTCTTCAAATACTTTTTCTGGCCCTTTCTCTCTCTCCTCTCCATCTGGGACCCCTATAATGCAAATGTTTTTCTGCTTGATGTTGTCCCAGAGATGCCTTAAGGTATCCCTGCTTCTTTTAATTCTTTTTCTCATTTTTCTGCTCTGAGTGTTTTCCATTGCTTTGTCTTCCATCTCATTGATTCGTGCTCCTATTTCATCCATTCTGCTGTTGAACCTCTCGTGTATTTTTCAGTTATAACCTTTGACTGGTACTTTTTATATTTTCTCTCTCTCTTTGTTAAAGTTCTCCTGTGTTCATCTATTCTCCTGAGGTTGGTGAGCATCTTTATGACCATTATTTTTGCTTTAATTTATTTTTATTTATTTATTTTTTGGCTGCATTAGGTCTTAATTGCTGTGCGTGGGCTCTCTCTAGTTGCAGCGAGCTGGGGCCACTCTTCATTGCAGTGCGCAGGCTTCTCATTGCAGTGGCTTCTCTTGTTGCGGAGCATGGGCTCTAGGTACCCAGGCTTCAGTAGTTGCAGCACCTGGATTCAGTATTTGCGGCCCGTGGGCTCAGTAGTTGTGGCACACAGGCTCTAGAGCACAGGCTCAGTAGTCATGACACATGGGCTTTGTTGCTCTGCAGCATGTGGAATCTTCCCAGACCAAGAACCTGTGTCCCCTGCATTGGCAGGCAGATTCTTAACTGCCCCTGGCCAGGCCAGGGTTCGCTGGAGTGGGGTGGGCTGGCGACCCACGGTAGGAGTGCGAGCCCGGGACCAGGCCGTGCCCCGTGGAAACGCACTGCACGGACACACACGGTGCTGCCCCTGCGGCGGAGCTGCCACGACTCGGCCTTGCTCCTGTTCTTGGTGCCAGTTCTGATGGCTGGTGATGTTTGCACCTGAAAATAAAGGGGTGTTGTGCCCCTGCCTATAGCCATTATTTTAAACTATCAGGTCAGTTTTTTTAATCTCAACTTCATAAAGGTTTTTTTCTGGGTATTTGCCTTGTTCTTTGGTTTGGAACAAATTCCTGTCTCCTCATTTTGCCTCTCAGTGTTACATGTAATTAGGCAAAATGGCTAGCGCCCTCACTCTTGAAAGAGTGGTCCTGGGTAGGAGCTGTTCTGTGTGGTCCAGAAGCACAGTCTCCCCTGACCACCAGAGCCAGGCACTCTATGGGCATCACCTGTGTGGGCTGCTTGAGTCTGATGGCTGTGACAGCGTTGCATAGGACAGGGCTGGGAGCTCTCACCTAGCCAACTGTGGCTCCACCACTGTGCGGGGAGAGCAGGGTTCAAGTCACTTGCCCAATTCAACTGCGGCTGAGCTGCAGCGTGCGGTGGATGGAACTTGGGGTGCCTGTCCAGGCTGATGACAGCTCAGCTGCTGTCAGGGGAAGGTGGACACTTGCTGGCCCAGTTGTGACTTGTCTGCTGCCTGGGGTGAGCAGGGCTCGGGGTTCTGCCTGGTCCAGTTTTGGCTCAGCTACTCTGCAGAGAGGGTTGCAGCTCTGTCTCTGTGCGGGTTGGGTGGGGCTCAGGGCAGGGTGCCTCCCAGGCCAATTGTGGCTCGGCTGCTGTGTGGGGAGGGCAGGACAATTGCCAGGTTGCGTTGCACCTGGGGTTCTGCACAGGGTGGGATGCTCGCCCAGCCTGGTTATAGTGCAAGGTGGGCAGAGCATGCCCTCCCGTGCTAGCAGGCTAGAGGAAGGGCACCAAAAATGGCTCCTGTAGGCTTGTCACCAGCAACTTAGATTGAGGTTGCAAAAATGGTGTCCACTAGTGCTTCCGTCCCCAGATAAAGACGCTGCAGGTTCTTGTCTTGCTGTCAGCCACTTTAAAGTTAGTAAATGGGTCTACCTCACTTATGGTCTAGGCGCTTTTCAATCTGTTGCTTTTGTGCTGGATCTCAGGGCCAGTGGGTTTGTATGAGAGTCCTCTAAGAGTGGGATCTCTGTTCCCTATGGTTCTATGATTCTCCTGGTCTTAGTACCAGTTGAGTTTCAAAATCAGATTTTTTTCAGGGGTGGGGGTCGTCTTTCCAGTGCTGGCCCCCAGGGTCGGGGTGCCTGATGTGGGGCACAATCCATTCACACCTTGAGGGAGAATTCTGTATTTATGGGATCCCTCCTTATTGTGGGGTCACAGCATCTAGGGTGAGGTCCCAGGTAAGGCCATGTCTGTGCTTCTTCTACCATTTTTGATGTAACTTTGTCTTCTGTTTTGGAGGTGCATG